TTGGTAATTTCGCGGTACGTGACGACGGCGACTGCGGCTATCTGCGTCCGTTCCGGAAGTAATTAAAGTGCGCGCGAACGCGAGGAACGATCGCGCGCGGAGCTCGTCTTCAAACGGCTTGGCGAGTCGCGACTTCGCCGCGTCCAATTAATGGCTGCGTCTCTGTGACTCCTCTCGGCTTCCTCCTCCTCAGCTCGGTCGGTTAATCCCGGAGTTCTACATCCGCGGACGCGGGCGGATCCTTCGACCGGTCGAAAAATTGCGCGGGCGAATCTCGCGCTTCATTTGCGAGTAATTCGTATCTCCGTTCGCTCCGGCGGAGGGACGCTCGCTCGAGAGGACCCGTCCTTCTCTTGCCACTCCCTCCGTTCGTCTCTGTCGATCTCTATCTACGCTGTGAGAAGAGACCGTCTCATATCTCCGACTAATAACGGCACAGAGAAATAATCGCAGTAGTCCGGAATATATCATGTCGACCATTGTCGAAATAGTTATAATTGGACTAGTTACGGTTCTACGGTTCTACGAGACGGCTACACTGAAAGCTGAGAGCTGAGAGCTGGAAACGACGGTCCACTTTGTCGCGATAAATGTTGCCGCGGCGCGACTGATGTAGTAACTTCCTATCGCCGCTTTTTATTCGAACGACGAAAGACACGATCGGCGGCGGCGGCGGAGGCGGCGGCGGAAGCGAGCGCGACTTGTAACGAGATTAGCGATCCCTCCGCTGCGAGCGTACACATTATCTGGCCGCCATCAGTCTATATGATCACCTATCGAACCTTCTGTCAATTTACCAAGCTACCTAGCCAGCCGTCTATCCGGCAGCCAGTTCTTTGAGCAACTCCGAACGACATTCGGCTGCGCCACGAGTGCGCGCACGCGCGCGGCTCCGGCTCCGTAACAAAATATCTTCCGACTTATCCTCGTTACCGTGTTGCAGCAATCGAAAGTTCGGCCTCTCGAGTGCTCGTGTGGATCGCACAGCGACGCTGATGGAACGCGCTTGCAGCCCTGCGCGAAAGGAAAGCTCGTTCTCGCACCGGCGCACAATGGGGCCAGATGACATTCTTTGGTTCAAAATTCTCTAGTGACCTGAATTTCCAACCGATCATCGACACCAGTGGATGAGGTTGATCCTGAATAAATTCCAAAGAGATCTGTCTAGCCGAAATTTTGAAAAAATTATTGATTAATGGGTTCAGGGTTTGTCTTAAAAGTTTCGAGGCTCGAACTTAATGTTTTATATAGCTGAATATTCAACGTCGAGTATTATTAGGTTCTCGAGCTATGGCTAGATTGGGTTCTTGGACTATTTGGGGCTCTTAATATATACGGCTTCATGCATCCACGAGCTAAAAAGTTCTCGGATTGATGGATTCCTAGGTTGATGGAGTTAACACTCAAAATCTCTTGGTTTTGTGCATAACGGGTCTATATTTGATGTTTTTGTATTTTGAGCGTATGAGTTTTGGGCTAATGGGTTTCTGATTCAAGATCGATAAATCTCGAGGTGTCTGTTGATTGGTTTCATAGTTTCAATAATAGCTGAATACGCTATTAGATAGAAATAAGTGTCAAATAATGAGTATTTCACAAGTTTCTCGCGTTTAACGATAATTTTTCCTCTTTTGGGACTAGTAATTCGAGAAAAAAATTTTGTAAATTTTTGCAAGACAGATCTCTTCGGAATTTATTCAGGATCAACCACATCCACTGGTGTCGATGATCGGTTGGAAATTCAGATCTCTAGAGAATTTTGAACCAAAGAATGTCATCTGGCGGCCCACTGTGCGGCGGCGCGCTGGAAGTCGCGATTGTCTAGTTCTTGTTCTCCGCTCTCGACAACCCTCTCGTCCGCCCTCTCTCTCTCTCTCTCTCTCTCTCTCTTGCTCACGCCGTGTTACCTCGCCGGTGAATATCACTCGGCGAGATGACTGTTGCGATCTCGGCCACGACGCGTCACGTCGAGCGTTTTCCCGCGACCGCCGCTCGAAAGACACCGCGAATCCACCGAGTCGAGTTAAAGGTGACGAGACGTTATCGAGCTACCCCCGATGTTCCCGAGAACTGCGACGAGCCACCTGAGCACCACCTGAGCTCGCGTAATTCGCCTACCCGTTTCCCACCTAATACTCGGCCCTCCGCCCTCGTGATAATCCGAACTGCATCAGACAGTTTGCATTCATTTTCCAAGCCGTTCTTTTCTGCAGGATCGAAACTCGGACGTGACTCTCGGCTTTCGCAAGATACCGCCGCGATTTTGCGTACGTGCTCTCGAACCACACAATCTTCTACAAGTGAGAAAATAAAAATTCTTCGACGACAGACGGTCAGCTGCGAAGCGCTCGAAAGGCACGCGCGATTTTGTCGCGCTGGTCCTCGCGGCAGCCGCGACGGTAAATCAACAGTGTTTTATCGACAATGGTAGGCACCGAGAGAAGAGGAGGGAGAGGGACCGTGAGAGAGCCGACGGTGGCCCAGGGGATGTTTTTCAGCAGCGAGCGAGACCGCGAGCGTGCCGCGCGCGAGAGAGCCAGCTGCGGTTTTCCGCCCCACCGAGCAGCCAAGATAACGAAATGCCGATATCTAACCGCGCGCGTAAATAGCGCGATATTTATACCCTCGCGGCTCGACCGGCTCCGGGGGAACGTAAATCCCGAATCGGCGCGATTCCCGATCTTCATCGCGCGATTGCGGGACGTGAGTCGACCGGCGACATTCCAGAAAGCCAATCCCGTCAATCGATGACGGAACGTCATCTGCGACCTGGCGCCGGGAAGCGTCCTGAAGCGTCCATCGGCGATTACGACGGTAATTTCGGAACTCGGGAGCACGAAGTTCGAATCCCACGTCGGTTAAAGCTATGGCGATTTTGCGAAAATGTCCGGGCGGACGAGAGTTGCGGAAAGGGACTTTGCGAGCGGAGAGAGGGAAGGAGGGGGATCTCGATTCGGAACACGTCCCGATGATAATAAGATCCGGGAACGCGCGAAAGGCGGCGGCGGCAGCGGCGGCGGAAAGTCGCTGGAGTAAATCGCGAAAGCGAATAACGACGAAATCTCATGACTCGTTAAGTCGCCGAGGATTAACTCGATTCGAGATTTTTCTCCTGCTTTGCCTGCCAACAGGTCGACCTAATTTGATTGCGCTTAATCTGCAGCGTCCGAAGTCGCTGCGTTCCACCTGGATTTGAGATCTTATCCCCCGTCCTTTCTCTCTCCCTTCCTCTCTCTCTCCCTCTTTCTCTCTCTCTCTCTTTCTCTCGAGAGAATAAGCAACTTTTACTAGAAAATATTCAAGTAGGAAAATGTCCGTTATCGTGGCACTTAAGAGGCGAAGTGACAATTTGATCGCTAAATCAACTTACAGTAACAACATCGTGGAATCTATAAAGATTGGGAAATTAAGGTCGAAAGTGAGGGTGAGATGTCGATTCGTACGAAACATCGAGCGATGACACGATTCGAGAATACTCGTCGTCGCTCGAACACGAGTCGTCGACGGACCGACCGGGATTTTTTTCGTCCCGTTATTTCCGAACTAAGCGGAAGAAACAAAGTGCGATGTGAACGAGCAACGGCGTTAAATAACGCCGCTTGTTCGAGGCCGTCAGCAGTTTCGCGCCGCTTGCGGTCGCGCCGCGCTCTGCGGCAGCATTGTCCGCTTTGCGCGCTGCTTTATTTATCTCGCCAATAATTCCATTTTCGGGTCCGGGAGGGACGAGAGTACCGCGAGCGACGGCTGTGTCGCGCGGGCGCGACGTGGTGGACGTGCACGTCGACCATGACGGCGTAAATTTCGATGTATACGCCCGATGTATTCTCTTCGCATATCAAAAAACCAACGACAATGCGATAGCAAAAAAATAAAATATCTCCGCGAATATCGGAGTTTTAGTCGCGACGCTGCTGCACCGCGCTCTCTCTTTCTCTCTCTCTCTCTCTCTCTCTCTCTCTCTCTCCCCCCCCCCCAGGGGGAGAGGCGAGCAAGAGGGGCGGGATGTCAACAAATTTAAGCCGTCGGCCAATAAAACATTCACCGAAACAAGCCCGCGAGCGTGCGAGCGCGCGCGTGCGTGCGTCATTATTACGCGGCGTCGAAAAAACGCGCCATCCTCGTTCCGAGAACGAACGTCCCGAGCCAATTTACTGGCAAAACGTCCCGCGTCGCGTTAATCCGTCCTCGCGAAAACTTGCCCGAGCTTTGTCACGCCGCGTCCGTAAAATATTTCCCTTCGCGAGCGCGCAGCAATTAAAAGTCCCAAGAGCGGAGGCAGCTTTTCGCGCAGCAGTCGCCGGTTCACCGGTTTCAGCCCGCTGAAAATCGCCCGCTGAATTCAACCTCGTGACAAGCAACGTGACTCTTTACGTAACGCGACAATTGGAGGAAAAGCGACGTGGATTGGAGAAAAATCACGATTGCTGCGCGCTATGGAGAAAAGAAGAACGGGAGGGAAAGAAAAACAAAATGGAGCCAGTCGTCGCGAGGACGCAGAGCGAATTGAATTTCAAGAATGCCGATTGAGCGAGAAGCGACTGTGTATGAGATATGGCGGACTCATTACGCCGGCCCGACACTCTCAGCAGAATTTTGCCGCTGTCTCTCGGCAAAAAACTTCCTTCTCGTCTCTCCGCGTAAGTTTCGCTGGTGCGTTAAAGTGTGTTAAGTCTACTTTTTTTAACACGTAACTTGGTGAGACTTCGCGGTCACTTCGCGCGCTGGCGAGGGAAATGCTCGCTCTTCATGAGGAATTTGTGGGAAAATGATCGTAATAAGGAAAATCGCTTTTACGGGGCGAGCATTGATTTCACGGTATATTTCTCCGGGATTTTACCTCGATGAAATCTTGCGCAACCGAATTGCGCAGTCCTGAGACTTGCTTCTCTCTACCCGATTCTTTCTTCTCTCCAGGTGAAAGACTTCGTCGAGGTCGACGAGAAAGATTGCCGGGTAGATGCAAGCCGCAAACGATGCGAGCCATAACTCAGCTTGGCGCGACAAATTCCGTCCCGGAGACTCGATTTTTTTCTAGCCGATCTTCGGCCTCGTAGAGACCGCGAAGAGTTCAAGTCAGGCTCGACTCCGATAAATTCGGAGAGACGAAGCGCAGCGATAAGGCCGACTTTGCACTCGTCAAGTTTCGCGCAACTCCGAGACTCGAGCGATCCTTTCCGCCCGATCATTTCCCGCCGCCGTGGACTCCGCGAAGCGTTCGCCAAGCTCGACAAAAATAAATAGAAGACACGAACGGCGCAACCTTGCCACCGCCACGCCGGACTACACACCGGAGAGAGTTCTAATTCGGCCTACGTTCCGCGCTATCTTTCGCGGCCATTTGGCACGGCCGGGCGCGATTACGCGTCAAATCGCGATGCACGTCGCCCGCGGCACGGACGTGATCCGCCATTTATTCGCCCTAATCGATCGCACTAATTGCGCCCCGGGCCGTGGCTCGAGTGTTATCAATTAGAAGCCACCAAAGTGGAATTGTCGCGGGCAATTAGCCCGCGTCGCCGCGCTCCGCCGGGCTACGACGGTGAATCAGCGTCGCTACGTCATCGTCGTCGACATCGACGTCGTCGTCTCGATTGCACGTCGCGACGGCACGTCAGTCCGCAAAAAGCTCCCGGAGATAATGGAGCTCATCGGCCGGGGGCGGAGGACCCGGCGGGAGTAGTTTTCGTTATTGTTTGTCGCGCGCGATCGCCATCGCGCGGGGGCGGCAAAGGGCGAAGGGACTCTCCCGAGCGGGGTAAACACGCGTCATCGGTATAGCCGGCGACTCCACGGGGGCTCGCGATTTCGCCGGACGCTCCATTAGTACACGGGATACCGGGCGGGCTCGAGTTGGCCGAGGGGTCACGTTGACAGTGCCTTTCGTTTGCGTTTGCGTTTGTCGCGGGGGAAAAAGATCGTAAAACGGGACATCGATATCTCTCCTCCCACCGCGGGATGTTCCTTTCGCAATGTGAGCACGCTTCTCCTGCCGTGAGTGTTCCTCTTGAAACACGGCAAAAGCAGCACCATATTCTAAAGGGAACATTTCGCGTCTCCCGCAATGAATGCATAAACGAAACGCACGGTCGGTTCGATCGGCCGTCGTTATCTTAACCGTTATCGTCGCCGACGATGAGAAGAGGGAAGAGAGAAACGGGTGAGCTGCTGAGAACCATCCGCGTCCTATTGCCGTGAATTTTGGCGAGGGTACTCCAAATGACCTCGAACGAATACCCCTCAATGGATTTCCATCCGCAAAAAAGTGTTTAACGCCGAGGAACTTGAAAGAGCGTCGTTATACATCGTCGCTAATATTACGCTGTTTCTCCCAGACAAGTCTATGTATTGCATCTATTCACCCTGAGTTTTTTTTTACTGCGTTTTTACTGCGTTTTGAATTAAAAGATGTGGCGCGACTCTACAGCGCAGTGGGTTGGATCAGAAACAAATATTCATTTGTCCTCGTGTAAATATGCAATCACAGTGCACAAACAAAGCTTGGAGAGTAACGTAATGCTAAGAGCGACACATAGAGTCTGTTCTTTACAGCTGCACTGCTGAACTAGTGCAATAAGTTAAAACGAGACAACTATATTTTTTCTCGCTCTAACTTATTGCACTTGCAGTACAGCATAAAAAACAGCTATAAAAAACAAACCCATAATTTGTGTGCATTTGGCTTCAAATTCACAGCAATTAGGCGTACATGATTTCCGGAAACTCAGCTAGAAGAACAAAGAAAAACGCATCCGTCGCCGGCAGAGCTTCTTCCGGAAGGAGGAGAGACATCTTCGCGGTAGCAACGCGCGTTGGACGTTTCCGCTCGAGTACCCTGCGACGCGGAGCGGCGACACGTCGAGGCCGATATTGTGAATGACACCCCATTTAAGCAGCGCCCTTGAACGAGCTCGGGACTGCGAGCGGAAGAGAGACACAAGTCTGTCCGGCGGGCTACTGTCTTCTGCCGTTATAACGATCCATTAATATTAAGCGGATGCAAAGAGCCTCGCAGACAGGTGTAAGCTCTTTCACGCGGTAATGAAAAGCGTACAGCGTCGTCCTCCCGGCAGTCAGCCTCCCTCGCTCATTCTAACCGGCGACCGGGAAACGATCGTTTCTATCTCGCCAAGAGGCCTTCCAGATGGAATTTCTATTCGAGCGATGGTACCGTTTCTTTCTCTCTCGTCCTCTCTCGTCCTCCCCTTCTCTTTTTTCCTCTGTCTCTCTGTCTCTCTCTCTCTCTCTCTCTCTCTCTCTCTCTCTCTCTCTCTCTCTCTCTCTCTCTCTGTCTCTGTCTCTATCTCACCCTCCATCTCTCTTTTCCCTCGCTGTGAATTTTCCGCTCGCAGAGTCGGTATGATTATTCAACGAGATCGATTAATCATCGACTCACCAATAGCGGTGCATACCCCGACGATCCTCGTCATCGTCGTCAGATGATGCGTGTCGCTCGACCTGTCGTAGGTGGACATGCCGGTGGAGTCCATCGCCAGGTCCTTCGTCTGGGTTACCATGAGACGGGCAATGCGGAACTGCGTGTTGCACTCCTCTCTCGACGCGGATTCTGCAAAGACACCTTGATTCCTGCATCTTAATTCCGCATCGACGACGCGACGAGATATTTTTAGGGAGCTTTTCGGAAAGCCGCGTAAACTCTCGCTCAGACTTTGGACCGGAAAGTCACGTGCATAAATGCAACGTACTCTTCTGACGCAGGTGAGACTTAACGACTTTGTATTTATTTCGGTACCGCTTTGGATTCTTAAGCGGTGTTACTTTTAATATCCCCGTTTACCATTTGGAATATTTTAATTAAACAGGACTCCTGCGTTTCTCCTGCGCCAATTATTTATGCGCGTGCTGGAATCCTTTTGCCCGGTTAGGGATTAACAATGTGCCTTTCCTTATTAATCTTGCTATGTAGCCGTTGTACAATCAACTATAAAATCTACATTTAGCCTACAGTCTACATAGTCTGCATAATTTATGCAGGGTCTATATATTCAATGTAGTATATATTTTGCCACACGGTCAGCCTGAAAAGCACGTTGCAACGTCTACGCTCATCAACTCGAACAAATAATCGCGTGGCGCAAACTTTGGTCATCAAGACAATCCTATGCAAGCGAGTTTCCTCGTAATTGTTGATTGATTTCTACGGCAACAACTTCGAAACTGTCGTCGCAATCGCGTTAGACGATCGAGCTCTTTGAAATGACGTCTGTCGCGTGCCAGTCTGTCCGCATTATACGCGATGTTTCGATTTCAACTCACCGCAATGTCCACTCTGAGCCGCCGAGAAGTGTAATCCTCCACCACTGCAAGCTTGCGCGAAACTAAACGCGCCGCGCAGAGCTTCGCAGCGCCAAAGACGCGGAACTTGCGCAAACGCCATCCGACGATCGAGTCTCTCTATATCCCTCTCGCCACGTGTTTCACCTCGTGCGAGGGTAATAACGATATTGCGAAAATATAGTAATTTCGCTCCGCAAAAATACATGGGCTATTAGTTGAGCGGGCGTGTTTCCGCGCTCGTCCTCCCCGCCATCTTCCTCGGCATGTGTGTATCTCTCTCTCTCTCTCTCTCTCTCTCTCTCTCTCTCTCTCTCTCTCTCTCGCGGAGAACATGTAAAAATAACTCACACGTGATAGCAAAAAAAGCCCGCCTTTAACATTTACCCTGTTTTTGTAGGATTTATTTTTAACCCGTTGTCCACTATGACACACAGAAAGGAACAGCTTTGAGCGGGCAGTGTAATAAAATCTCGCGCGGATCTCGCCCGAGAAACGTTTTGAAATTGCAGGGAAATCAGAGAAATGAAAAATCAGAATGGAAAAGAACGCGATGTGCGTTTAAAACATTTGTCGTGTGTCTGTAAAACGACTCGCGGCGATTATCAGACACTCTAATTGTGCCGCACCGCGGATTAATTGAGGTTAACTTTAAACGCGAGCATGACATCGCATAAAATAGGTTGTTAAAAGCGCTTTTATCTCTCTCAGAGAATCTTTGCTCTCATATTACTGTGAACTTTTATAAAAACCTTCTTTATAAAGTAACGCGAATGAAAGAATCAAATGTTTTACTGACCGACCTTTTTCGAATTCTATGTAGATCTTTTCGTCTTCGTGCCAAGCGCGCGAATAAATGTCGACGCTTGGCATGTATGTTGTACCAGCCAGTCAAATGAATTCTTAATGAAACTGTTTTCAGCAGGAACATTTTTTTATGCTTGTCTTTTTCAAGTTATCGGCTGTCGAATATCGAATACAACACAATCGATAAGACTGAAAGAAAATAAATAAAGTATAAATTTATCTCTCTCTCTCTCTCTCTCCCTCTTTCTCTCTCTCTCTCTCTCTCTCTCTCTCTCTCTCTCTCTCTCTAGATAGATAGATAGATAGATAGATAGATAGATAGATAGATAGATAGATAGATAGATAGATAGTGGTAAATAAGCAAAATTCAACGGCTTGTTCAATTTCAAGAAGCATCTTACAGCTTAAAATCTATACTTATCAAATATGTAGATAATAGTTATTTCTTTTCACAATGTAAAAATATAAATTAGCCCTTTAACTGCTACGGTCGAGATAACTCGAGTGTGGAAAAAAATGGCGGCCTTGCTACGATCGAGTTTACTCGATTTGGACTTTCAACGTGTATGGTATTGCGTGTGGTATTTTTTTTTAATTTAAAAATTTATTAAATGTGAATTTGTGAAAATCTGGATCATCAGCAAATTATAAAATATTTTATAATTGTAAAAATAACTCAGCAAAGAGGGTCATACTGGTCATTTAATATCTCAGCAGTTAAAGGGTTAAGATTCGTCAAATATGAAAATTTTCAATAATCTTTTTCGAGCTGCACCGCGTAAACACAAAATTATACACCAATTACCTTTGCACCGCTTGAAAATGTGTATCTTTCCCTTTAGCTTGTATTAACCCACAGATTGCAGATTGTGATCTTTCTTCGATTGAAGTTGAAGTAAAACGCGCCCTCTTACCTTTGATCACTAATAGTATAGCCTATAAATTGATATGTACATAACGTTCATTACAAAATGCGCAGAGTTCAAAATTCCTTTCTCAAGATACACCTACTCTATTTTTAATACAAATAATGTTTCCTTGTAGAAATTTAAGTGAAAGATATAACTGAAAATTAAACAGTTATCGCTTTTCATTTGACTCGATATATCTTGATGAAGAATGCTTTTTAAGTCGTCTTATTATCGTCATGTTTACTGAAGTTGTAACTAGTTTAATTCCGTTTATGTTTTGCACATGGTTATAAGTATTATGAACAATGACATTAATAACCAGGCCCTGGGCATCTCCAGTAGCTATTTATAACAAATAAATATATTTAGGTGTCTCTCAGATGTTATGATGTCAGCGGCCTTGAGACGGAAAGCGCGACTGTCAGATTTATCGCCGCCGGGTGTTCGAGAGCGATGAGAGGAGGGTAAGAGGAAGTAAGTGGGAAAAATTCCCGAAAATCGTCTGAAAAACGAAAGTAATTCCGAACATCGTAGTAATAAGAGAAACACCTAATCAGCCATTAAATCACATTGCTCGGGAAACAGAAAAGGGTGGATGACATGCCGTTGACTTGTACCACGAAATCCTCGATATTGATGGTGGCGGCTCGTAGCGGAGATTTCGGAACTAATAAAAATAACGGGTCAAATAATTACGGGTCTAACAAACGGGTCAAATCACTCGAAATTCTCTTATTGCCAGGCTAAAATAGCTCTTTTTAGTAAAAACTCCAAAATTAATAAAAATCCCGAGTCTAATAATTGCAAAGACTCGAAGTACTAAAATTATTTTTTCTAATTAAAGTTATTCATGTGATATCGTTAAAGCTTAAATTGCTTAAAATAATGGGGCAGCAACGCAACAGAAAGCTCATTCGATAACAACGTCATTATATTTTACATCCAATACACTTATGATAACACATAATCGTGCGGCATACAAAAATATATTCATTTGCAACAAGCGCGTGTAGAACACTCGACAACACGGACAATGAGGTAGAGATAAAGTCACGATACGTGTGATGTGTGTATGTATATGTATATATATATATATATAATCTCTATTCGGCAATAATACTTTAAAATAGAATCGCGTGATTGCGGCGATTCGCTTCCGTAGATTGTACGATGATAAAAATATACCTGCTTAAAGCGTTTCGCTGTGCTCCAAGCGTTGTATTCTGCCTCGAAACCGACGCGTCGAAGCGGCATTTTGTACTCTTCGGTTTCCTCGCAATTGTGCGCAGCACGCAACACGTAAAACGAGAGATTTCTAAAAAATATATTATATACTTCTCGCATACACATACTTTTACTTTAAAGCGCGTCTCATGCGTCTTCTCTGCAATTTCTCACGGTCCCTCCTTCGCTCAGGCTTTCTTTTTCTTGCTCTTGACCACCCTGGGACTATAGTCCCACCCAGCTGAGAGGAGGCCGATTTTCGACGACTGCGTAGGCCCGAGGTGCTTCCCTTGAATTTCCAGCAGATTGTCATGCTCGCGAGCTGCATGCGCCGACTTGGGAATAGTGGGGCGGGCGATGGGACTCAACGGCTTCCTGCTACAGTGCAAGACGGTGGACGACGGCGCCTGTGACCTAAAACATGCGGAATTGTCGAAATTCTTCCTTCTTGTGTTTTAAAAAGAAATATATGTATATGAGGAATATGTAAATTTTGTAAAAGTTTCCAGATTATACGCCTAAATGTATCGAAAATACTTGAACTGCCTGACAAATCGTGAACGCACCTGTTTTTGCTCGAAGGAAGTCTCGAGGTATCTATGGGTGCGAGTCGGACGTTTTTCGGCCAAACAGCGGGACAAACGGGCGCTTGCCAAGCGGCATGAATATCTGAATTCCTCAAAGAAGACGATTTTTTCGCGGAACCTCGAAAACCTAGCATATTTCGAGCTGATCCTGAAATACCAGCGAGCGTTATGTCAATGCTCAAAAACTTTAGCTAATTGTCCCTAAAACAAACTGATGTTTTCTACCTCGGAAGGAAGAAATCTCCATATTCTCGGCCAAGAATTTAACCGGAGTGAATTTTAACGTAGAGAAACTTTCTCGTGTGGACACCGCAAAAGGCACAGGACTTACGACGATCCTCTCGCTGAAGACAGTGCCGAGTTTATTCCTACTTATATGTGGTGTACAAAGCTTCTCTTTAGATTTCAATATATCATCATCGCCCACACCTCTAAGGTCTCTTGCCTTATTCGCAGAGGCTGAGTTCCTTTGTCTTCTAAAAATTGTATTAAAAAATGTACATTATATTCATTATATTGGATTTATATTCAATACTTTGCTTTTTCTTTTTTCATTTCACTTACTGATAAATTGCTTGATAATTTGGATCATTCTTTATCATCTGAAGAGAACTTTCTGTATCCAGTAGTCGATTCCTTATGCTTTGTGATTTGTTCTCAATATAATTAGGCGATACTGCTTCTTCTGCCCAATTTGTTTTTGTGCTTTTCGATGAATTTCTATTACCATGAAGAGGAGCAGGAGTTATCTTCAAAGTATCACTTAAGCTGTCATGTGAAAAATCTGTATCATCCTCTTTGTCAGGAAAAAGCTCTGATATTACATGTTCCATCAGTAAGTCAAGGACATCTTCAAATTTTGCCTTGTTTAATTTGTATTGAGTAGAATCCTCTTCCTCCTAAAAGTAATATAGAAAAAAGCAATATAAAATGTTACAGTCCAATATATTTTTCTAATGTAATACCAATATGATACCAACATAATACTATTATAATATCTTTGGTAGTATACATTATATAATTATATAGAAATTTATATATATAATTTTACCTTAACTGAAAGACTATGTTCCATGAATACTGTATCATTTTGCAAATTGTCCAATTTTTGCCTAGATTTAGCGCTGGAATGAATATCAGATTGCACCCTGTTGTTGACATTAGCTGAATTTCTACCCATTAATCTCAAGTATAGTATCTGAGTCCTCCATTGTACACACTCATCCAGAACAGGTCCCTGAGGTAGTTGGTCATCCTCCTCGTAAAAAGACCTCTCCACAGTTGCCCACTGCTCTTCCAATCTCTGAGTTACAACATTCTCTGCCTCCTGCGACCAAGAGACAGAGGTTGCAGCGCTGTTCCCAGTAGACAGAATATTATCATCATCATCCTTCCACGATTTCCGTCGCGGCAAGCTAGGCAACTGGAAGCGACCGCTGTCCTTATTGTCAAACCTGTCCTCTTCATCCTCCAGCCTCAGCAAATGCTGCGGGGCCTTTACCTTCTGTGTCAGTGGACTGAATCTGTAAAAGTTTCGACATTTATCGCCCTGCACTCCACTCCTGTGTACTCGAAAGTCACAAGAGCTTACGTGTTACTCCTGAAGCTGTTTTTACGCATCTCATGCTTTCTGTGCCGTCCCTTCCATCAACGAGATGCGATCGGTGACAATCCGCCGTGCCGTAATGTTCCACAAGCAGCGTGAAAACTTACTGCTGCTCCGCTGACTCCCAACACTCATAGTGTTCCAAACTACCAAGTTTCTCGACAGCGCAATTATATCGCCGCCGTACGCTCCTGTCATTCATAATTTCTTCACTTTACGTGCGTGCGAGACGTTATCGATTTTTTTCCGACTATCGCCAGGTAGTATAAAACTGTAAAGCGCGAACTTGATGTTTCTCTCATCTGTCAAGTGCTGCTGACAGATGTCAGCACGGCAACGTCACGACGCGCGAATACCTAGACGCGACGCCGCGTACGAAGCGGAAACACCCGGGATTACGGAAGTAAGTGCCTTCACGGCGAGTTCGGCCGGTAGAACGTGCGTGATTAGTGTGTGTTGTGTGTGTGTGTGTGTATATATGCGCCATGGCGCATGTCAACTCGCGTGTTCGCTGTCAGCTTATCTAGCCGTAGAGAAGAATTCCTTGCGGTTTTGAAATGACATACGTGAACCGCCCGCGAAGGTAAAATACTCGGCACTAGGGACCGCCTCGCCTTTATTCCGACTGGTATCGCAGTAATGGCGGAATCGAACGGGCCGATTCTTCACGTTATCGTCGTCGGGTTCCACCACAAGAAGGGTTGCCAGGTAAACTGTGCGTCGATTAACCTGTCACAAGGATCGCCCTCGTGATTTCACCGAGCTTTCGCGGCTAACACTAACGCGACTTTTCTCTCTGCCCGCCAGGTAGAATATTCGTTCCCACCTCTGGTACCTGGCGCGCCTAACGAATGCCCTTTGGGGTGGAAATACCTGCCTACGCTCGCTTTGCCCGACGGCTCCCATAATTACGACGAAGACACCGTCTATTTCCACTTGCCCAGTCTCAATGATCCGAAGCGCACGATATACGGCATCTCGTGCTTCAGGCAGATACCGGTGGAGGTACGTGGCAGTACTGCGTATTAGATTTCAGTGATATTCAGTTGAATGACAGGTGGAATGTCGCTGTGCTTGCAGAAATTAAAAAATCGCACGTCCGACATAACGAGAGGCACTGTCCAGAAGTCGGTATGCGTGCTGAGCACTCTGCCGCTGTATGGACACATACAAGTGAAAATGGCCCTGATAACGCACGCTTATTTCGAGGAAGGTGATTTCAGCAAAGTGTCCTTGTTAGAGGATACTTATCATCATCTGAATTCATGTATGAGCGGCGACAGCCAGATACCACCGCAGATTTTTGTCGGTAATTGACGAACAGTTGTTTGATGAGCAAATTCTCAAGCCAGCACCAACTAGATTACTCCATATTCTGCACTGATTATTTACAGGCTTATCCGCTAGAGACTTTATATTGCAATTCCGCCACAAAGTATTGCTCTTATTCAAGTTACTCTTGCTAGAGAAGAGGATAGTTTTCTATCAGTCACCGGTACAGCCATTGTGTGCCACGATATTGACTCTACTATCACTGTATCCTGGCATGATAGAGCACGGTCTTCAACAGGCTGCGTGTGTCAGGTACTATTACTTTGCTCGACTTATCGCTCTCTTTCTCGGTCATTCAGTAAGTGGTGGTACTATGAACAAGCTATACTCTCCTCAGACCATCCAGGCCAATGTCGCCAATTCCGACCTTTGACGAGGAAGAAATCTCCATGAATAATGTCGATTCCAACTTGTCGTCCGCTCATATTGTTCAGAACAACACGTCAGAAATAGAAGATGAGCAGTGCAACGACAACAGCAATCGTAATTCTCTGTGCATTAATGACAACAAGACCATCGAGTCCATGGAGGGCAAATGTATGGATGGGCTGCGGCATGTAACTCTGCAGAAGAACAACAACGATAACGAGAACTTAAATCTGAAGGTTATTGAGATCGAGTCGGCGCAAGAATGCACTGAGACTTACTTGGAGGACAGCAATTCCAAATACTCACCAAAGCCAAACGATAATGTGCACAGGGTGCACAGCGTCAACGCTATCACGTTGGGTACGGGCGACACGGACAATAGCTTACCCCGCGACACGAGTAACGACGCGCTTTCTGACGCGAGATTAACCAACAACATCACGCAAATCGCGCACATTAATCCGGAGCTCTGTGGTCTGCCTTTGGAGTTGTTTACAAAGGTAAGGGGGGAAAACTGTCGATATTGCATAACATACGACATTTCGTACATACATTTATCACGGAAACGAGTCAATATTAAGATAAAAAACATTTGTTGCAGGGCTATCTCTGTTTGCCGTATCTGTCTTTGCCCTATCTTGATCTCTTAGGAGATGTGAACGTTCGAGGATACATAGTGGGCGCGACGAATGTATTGTTCAAACAGAAGAAGCAACTGATCGACGTGTTAGTCGAGGTGAGCGTGCGAATGATATCGAAGTTGCATTATAACGCAGAGTATCACGACCGAGTGTCAGCTAGTGGTATTACAATGTTGCGTTATCTGCGAAAGGTCGAGAACACACGGATAGAGGCAACCGACCCTGACCTGAGGCGACAACTGCACCTGACTACCGAGGATCTAAGATTCGCTGATTACGTGGTGAGACATGTCGCCGAACCTCGCAAGGATATCTTCCTGGATGGGGTGGGTTGGGAGGGCGGCGACGAGTGGATCAGAACGCAGTTTCGCGTTTATCTGTTGAGCATGCTGCGCACCTCGATGCAGCAAGACACCCGTCAGTCGGATCACTACAACGCGACCTTCGTCGCCGCGTGGCGCGCGACGAACAACTACAAGGCGTGGTGCAACGCGAGCAAGTCGGAGATACACAATATCGAGCCCGGTCATCCTTTCGCCGGTCAGTTGTCGGTGCAGGACATGAAACTGCGTCTGTCCCAGTAAGTATGGTTCTTGCAGAAATATGCGTACGCGCGCGAGGAATACGAAATGATCATACACGTTGCTTTGCAACAGCTATTGATGACCTGTGAAAGTGAGAAACGTTCGTTTGACGTGTCGTTTCAGCACGATGCAGAATACGGAGGGTGGTAGAAAGTTGAATCAGGCCATGGCGTCGACCGGGCGAGCGGTGGCCACCACTGGGAAAGCCGTAGGTGAGCTTTCGCACGAATTATCGATTTAAATGCAAAATAGAGCAATATATATATATAGAGCGCGTGCGACAAATAATAAAGAATAATAAGGCATGACGCGGTGAAAAGAAAAAGAAAAGCACATTTTCTACCCGCTTCTCTCACACGCATTGCATGTTTGTTTTTACAAGGAGGAGCGCTATCGCAAGCGAAAGGGGCGTTCTCAAACTGGTGGAGCACGCTGACGACGGTTCAGCCGGCCGACGAGACGAAGATCGATAATCAAACGACGAACATCCACCACACCGTCACGTCCAATGTCACGGACAAGGAGTCAATCGAAGACGAGGAGATAAACGTCTCTGCTACTCATAACGCGGATGTTACCGTAGGTCTCGATTAATATAGAAATTCATGCGATGATGATGCACGATCGAACGTGAACGATCGCAATTAAAATTACAAATACTAAAAGATACGAGACGTCACCGCCACCGCAATCACCACAATCACCACGACCACTACGACCACCGTTATCATCACCAGTGGAGAGCATAAGACAGCGTAAAGACGCGCGAAAGCTGCAAGCAAGAAGGAAGTTGTCGCGAGGCGCACGTGCAACGCGACGTGCTTATTGAGAGGCCGAGTTTTTTTTAGAACACTCTAATTTCTAGCGAGAGGAAGTATAACGAGCGAGAAAGATTCAAAATACGTGTATGTACAACAGAATTATATTGATGTGATGTACAGCTTCACACGAGAAGATCGTCGGATCCGCAGGCTGCTGCTGAGCGCTGAGGTACAGGCTGATGTATCGCTGATTTAAGTGTAAGTGTAATCTTATATACTTCTTGCCGGATAGTTCTGTATATACACACACACACACACACACGCGCGCACGCGCGCGCGCGCGCGCGTAATTTCTATATGTTTATATGTATAAGAAATATGTGATATAATTTCATTATACAAAAGACACGTTACGTAAACAACCGTGGCGATTGTTCCTCCCCGTTTGACTCTCATGCCACGATAAAGCCACTTCTTATAAATATATTAATTAATTTTAATATCTCCCATTAAAATAACGAAGATACTTCCCCAATTAGGAAAAATATCTATATCCTTTGTACATAAGAAAAGAACTCAATTTTTTATATTTATGCGCACACACAGATTATTATCATTGTTGTTGTTGCTATTATTATTATTATTATTATTATTATTATTATTATTATTATTATAATATATTTTTCCTCTGCCTCCGCGAGTTATTTCAACGAAATTATTTAATTTATTGCTCAAGGGTAAAGGAGGAGGGGGAAAAGAGGAGGATGTATGCTCTCTTCAGTATATAAAGGAATAAAAGAAGAATGGCATATTTGACATATGTCGCAGCATATGTTATCAGTCATTACAAAATTTATATATATATATATATATATATATATATATATACATACACATATATATATATATTTACAGGGTTTCTCTCAGTATTTTGTATTATTGCGAATACAGTAGACCTATCATACGTAGAAGACACAAAGAGAATTCGGCATCGGAATGACCCGATAGTGTCCGAACAAAGCATGAGTATTGTACATTGTTCCATAATTCATTTTCACTAATACTAATCCTGTTATTGACAATATCGCTACCTCCATTTATTGTCGGGATTACACCGAGCGCGATTAGTTCTCCGTGTGTGACATGACGATCCTTACAGTTATCGGTATACCACTATAACGATAGATTTCAACCAAGATAAATAGTCGTTAGAGTCTGACGCGCACGGTATTCATGTACTCGTCGGGGGAAAACGTTTAGCACTACGGAGATCGTGCGAATGGTCATTCGTGGAACAAGGAGGAGCTGCCCGTTAGTCGTTAGCGGAATTATGTTTCTAAGCTTAGTGCACGTAGTAGATTGTTTATAACGTTACTAGCGTAGCCGTTGTGCTAATATACGTGTATATCCGATTAAGGTAAGGAATCCTTTCTTCGCTGCAATATATATTATTCGTAGGCTAAAAAACGCGAGGAGCACTTTTGTAAGGGAAAACTTGTAGTGCAATTATTTGTTTACGGTTACATTAAGAGCGGGATATACTTAATACTTATTCCGTTGTTACACACGGCACACTCTCTCGTGCTGAGTATATACATTTTTATATACTCGGTGTATATGAATACTCAGCGTATAAATCTTATACATTTAAATATATGTAAATTTTTGGAAGCAAACACCCACATTTGGTGCCGGATGAAGTTTCTTTCCATACAAAACACAAATCCTTTGAGAGTTCAAATAGAAAACTTTTTTTTTTTTATCCGATCTTCGAGTTAAACATTTCGATGTTTATAGTCTGATATTATGACTGCGGGTTTGAATTTGTATTGGATGTAACAGTTTATATAGTCGCCGCAATATGTGTCGGTTGAACAAAGATATGATCAAGTAAATTGTTATTTAATAAAGGGCAATATGTACGTAGAAATTTATGTGAGCTGTTTATTTCGGAAGCGGTCGAACGCCTAAAGCACATTAGGTTTATCGCTGACATGTCTGACTTAATGAAATTTACGTTCTTCAAATGTCTGACGCAACATGACGTGATAACGTGTTTTCAGAATAAACGGTTCACATGTCAGAAGTTCTAGGGTTTAAGCTATTGTTGTAAGTACATCGTATTTGTGATATTTAGTTTGTTAGAATCTGTAAATCGATGCATCCATTGTCAAGGTACATTCTTATTTTGTATAAGCGCGGTGTGCCAAATGTGGAACGAAACATACGTGTTTAGAGGAATTAACGAGGCTCGGGCGATTTGTGCAAAAAGGATCGCTAATCGATAATTCGCCGTTAAATGTGGCGCGATAAATTGATGCTGAATAATCAAGTCGTTAATCAGTGGGGAGACGCGTATTAAACATTTTGCATCAAATTTTTGATAAAACCTTCGATCGCTCGCTATCCAAAAATTGAGCCTTCGGAAAAGTACGCAGTTGGTTCCATTCTTGAGTTAAAAATTCTGTTCGCTTCGGAGTTGTCGCTGAAACAAAAAAACATCTAGTAAATTATATATACGATTTACGACGTAAAGGAGAATATTTTTATCCAAGACTGTTTATTTATGTTATGTATATATATATATTTTTTATTTATTAAAAAAAAGACATTTTCATCGGCTGCCATTAAGCCACTGATATATAGCTATATATATTTATTTTTAATATATTAAACAATTTTCTTCAAATTTTGGCAATAAACTCCACGAGCGATTGGACGCAAATTCTGTCTCGCTCGTCGGCTATTATTATTGGAACCGAGCATTGGTCGCAGAACGAAAGAATAAAATAGCGAAACGAAATTCAACGATCTTTGCACAGCTTTAGATGTTATAGCGAGAGAGAAAGTGATCTGAAATCTTAAGGCCACTTCCTGTTGGATAATTGAATATGTTTTCTATATTTATAACACAAGTTTGTACAGCTTATACATGGAGGTGCGTGTAAGTAAAAACAAAAAGAAAAAGAAGACGAGAGACCAGATGTGTCGCGATTGAGAAACGACTTATTGTACTGTGACTGTATAGTGTGCCGTCATTTGTCAAAATATATTAAAAAGAAATAATATATCCAACACATGAGCGTGTGTTTGCGTGATTGTCTTTTCATCTTACGATGAACAATCGTATCATTTGTCACATTAATTTGCGATTACTTCTTGCGCTTGCGATTGACAGACTCTATCATGCAAATTGCAAAGCGTCAAAAGTTAAGCTCAGCAAATTCGTACTCGCAGGCAGAGACACATCCTCCGATTTATTTCTCACGCGAGGCGCGAGGCAGGCCGGCCGCGGCGGTCGCTCGGCGCGCAACAACGTGACGTACGCTCACCGTTATGAATGAGCCCTTAAAGCCCCCGCCGCGCGGCGTACGCGCGCGAGCCGGAGGGAAGGGGTGTACGCGGGACACGAAACGGTGCGGCAGCTAGTAGGGAAACGAAAGCGAGAACCGGGGATGATCTCGCCACGAGCCGTGACTGGTCGGCCGATGCGCCGCCGAATAAACATCGTAGCTCACCGATAGTAGCCGAAGCGCCGTAAGGTGCCGCTCGGCTTGCGAGAGCGAGACGGAGGAGGTAGTGCGAACGCCATGGTGTTGTGTGATTGGCAACGTCACTGTCGTCACCGCCACCACCGCCGCCGCCGCCGCCGCCGCTGCCGCCGCTGCCGCCGCCGCCGCCGCCGCCGCCGTCGTCGCCGCCGTCGTCGTCGTCGTCGTCGTCGTCGTCGTCGCTGCTGCTGCCGTTAAACTTCGCGTCGCGAGTGCAACAGACAAGCGAGCAGGTCGCGTTTCTTCAAGCGCGTCGACCGTGCGACGCGCGAACCGTGCTCCGGCCGATCGCTCCGGCGGATCGCGACAGATAGACACGAGAGACAGTGAGTGCGAGAGAAAGAGAGAAAGAGAGAGAGAGAGAGAGAAACAGTGGAAAAGAGTAAAGCGAGGGACGCCGTTTTGAAAAGTCCTAGAGTGTGTCTCCTCCGCGGAACCACCTTCGCCGCTTCGCACCGCGTCGCGCGCGGTGCAATGTGTACACGTACGTACGAGGCCGCGCGCGTGTGTGTGTGTGTGTGTGTGTATGTGTATGTGCGCGCGCATGTGTGTACACCGCGAGTGTCCGTGTGTCGGCCTTCCCGGCGCGTGTGTATGCGCTTGTAGTATGTGTGTATATGTATCGGGAGGAGAGTGCGTTACGGTTCCTACGAGGTGAGCCTTTTAGTACTCGTACTGTCGGGTCAGCGAGCGTGAGTGCGGACGACGCGCGCGTACCGGCACGTAGGATCTCGCCCGTGTCATCGTTCGTTGTGTCGTGTCTCGTCGCTTATCGTCGTACTTGTCGTCGTTGCCGTCGTCCGTCGTCGTCGTCATCATCGTGGTCGTGAGTCGTCCTCGCCGTCGTCGTCATCGTCATCATCATCATCATAGCCGTCGCCGCGTCTTGGTGTCGCAGTTAACGACCCGGTGTATCGTGACGCGGTGAGCCGCGGTATCCCCGGGTGATTCGCGGTGGCTTGTCGGGAAAGAGTGCGCCATGCGAGAGAGGGATAAATCGGTGACTGGCGGGCGGCGGCCATCTTCCAGATGAGTTTTTCCTCCTTTCTTCCGATAAACGAAGCGCGCTATGTCGTGAGCGAAAAGGACAGAGAAAGCGAGATATCGTAAAAGGGATCCTATCGTGGGGAGAGAGCGAGAGGACGAGAGACGGAGAGAGAGAGAGAGAGAGAGAGGGAGCAGCGAGCGAGAGGGAGACATACTCGAGAGAGACGGAGCGAGAAAGCGCGCAAGGGAAGAAGATTATCCGCGTCTATACCATGCGACGAGAGATGCGGTGAACGGCGCGTGAGGCTCGGCAGAGCCACGAAATTTCACGAGCGCGTGTCGCCGCTTCGACCAGTCTTCATTTGTGAGCGTGAGAGGGAAAGACAGTCGCTCGCTCGCTCACACGACAGAGACAGACGTGTATTAGGAAGTGTCGCACCGCCCGCCCGCTCGCCCGACCGCGCGTGCGAGAGCAAGCGAAAAAGAGAGAGGAAGAGGAGAGAGAGAGAGAGAGGGGGGAGGAGCGAAGAAAGAAAGAGAGAGAGGGAGAGGTACGACGAAGCGACGAACCAGAGCGGAAGACGGAGAAAGAGACACATCGCGTGCGGGGGAAGAAAACGGAAGCGGTGCGGAGAGAAACGGACACGGAGAGGCGACCCCCTATCGCCGCGCGAGTACGTTCGTAATCGCGTCGTTCTCGCGAGCAAGCGAGAGCGAGCGGGAGAAAGAGAGAGAGAGAGGGAAAGAGAAGACCATCGGAGAGAAGAACGGAGGAAAAGGGAGCAAAAAGTGAGTCGCGTCGCGAGACGACGACTTGTCGTCGTTGTCGTCATCGTTTTCTTCCTGCGATCTCGCGGAGCGCGTTGTCAGCGGGTGAATCGATTACTCGTCCGTGTGTGTAACCTCCAAGTCTCTCTCGCTGGACGTCGCGAGGAGACCAGGAGGCAGCCGCTGGCAAGGAGGTGCGGGGGGGCGGGCGGGAGGGACGAAGGGGAAGCGGGTGGGTGATGGGGGGCGGCCGAGGGGGAAGGCCTCGACGACTCGAGCCATCGCCTTGTTGTCGTCGTCGTCGTCGCTGCTACTGCTGCTGCTGCTGCTTCGCGTTCAGCGTCTCTCGTGCGTCTATGAGCTGAATTTTTCGAGCGTGTCGCGCGGCGCCCGTCCCCCGCGCCCTCCTATCGCGACTGTATAAGCCGCGGATATATCGCGATCGCGATGAAAATCGCGCGAACCGCCGGCGGTGAGGCCGAAATCGCGTCGCACACAGTAAAACGCGGCAGTCGATGTCGTCGACGACACCGATTGCCTATCCAATGTGCCGCGATTCGAGATCGGATCGATCGGTGGGATTAAACGGCCGGTTGTGCCGAGCACGGTGCTCGCGTTCTCTCTCTCTCTTTCTCTCCCCCCCTCACTCTTGCTACTCTGTCTCGATCAATTTGCTCTCTTTGACTAAAGCGGCACCTACTACACACGGTCGGTATTGTTGCGCTGTAATTTTGTCGGTACTGATATCGGGGCCAATACAAGGACCGGGGTCGGACGCGACGAACCGCGAAGAATAAGGAGAGACGCACGACGTTGTGTATCGCCGCGCTCGCGCGACCGACCGACCGAAGAAACACTCGCACGTCGTGTATCGTCGCCGAGAGGGTCTTGTCGTCGCCGTGGTGCTTGCCGTTGTCGCGCTCGCGACGATTATTAGCGCGTCCCGCTGGTTAACGATCCGCGATTCGATGTATTTTTAGCCGGCGCGCGAGGTATATATAGAAATCGGAAGAAACCCAAACGCGACGCACATAACCTTACCGTCTTAGGGCTCGTTTCGAGCGCGCTGTCCGTGCGCCGGGGAAACAAGCGCCTTTTTACTTCGGGCTTCCGCACTCGGCCCCCCTCGGCGAGGTCTAATTTATCCGCGGAGAAAACTCGAGGAATTTGTGTTCTCTCGCAGCCTCTGCGCGAACGGTGGACGAGAGTGGACAGGATATCTCGGGCCGAGCAGCAGCGTCTCGAGGTTTGCCGGAGAGAGAGAGAGAGAGAGAGGGAAATCCATTGTATATGTTACATTTTTCAAGGTTCAAATTTCGCGCTCGCGTCGGGACGAGTTCCTGATTTATCATGCCGCCATTATGCGCTTTGCTGCACCTGGTATACTTACATCGCTGCAACACACATCGCGGCGCGCGTTAGCCCGCCGGTTTCTCGGCTTTCCTGCCGATATTACGGCGGCAGATGAGCCGAGAGAGAAATTATTTCCCTCCTCTCTCTCGGGGAGAAATCCGCGTATTCGAAACCAGGCGGAGATTCTCGAGAACGCGAAGTTGATGATTATCGATATGTGCCGATCGTTGCTGACTGTCTCTGCGCCTTCTTCGCGCCGCGTTAGCTTCATCTTCGCTAGCGCGATCGTACTTTGCAGATTGTACTCGAGCGATCCTTGTCGCTCGAATCGCGCAGTTGAATGGATTCGAGTAAGCGACGACTTACATAACGGAACTAAAAATAGAGCCGATTAATCTATTCTGTTTACGGCCGGTTTACGCGTTGCTTCGTCTGTCCGTCCATTCTATTCTGTTCTGTTGGTTGAATTTTTCCGAGATACCGTTCGCGGGATGTGCGATAAGATTCGGCCGCAGAGAGAGAGAGAGAGAGAGAGAGAGAGGAGGGACACGTTCGCTCGTGTTTCGACGCGTCGTAACCCTGAGAGAGCGAACCTCTCCCGAGGTGAGGAGGCGCCGATCGATCCGTTCGATACTCGCTCACATTCGTGGACTCGCTCGCTCGCTCGTGCGGCGGACCGTCGTCGTTAATCTCGACTTAATTATAATTGACGGTGAGACGCGCGCGCGGCCGGACGAGTGATTAAAAGTAGGTTAAACGCTCGGCAGTTTTGTAGACGCGCGTGCTTGGGCCATTTACAGGGATCAATCGTCGCGGAACTCGCCGTCGTGTGTGCGTGTGTGTGAGGCCGCGGGGTGGAAGCGGAGAGAAAACGGAAGTGCGAGGAACCCGTGGACGCTCGTCGCCGACGCCGTCGCCGTCGCCACCGCCACCACCACCGCTGCCGCCGCCGCCGCCGCCGCCGCCGCTGCCGCTGTCGCTGCCGGCCCGAGGTGCCCACCCGTTACATCGCGATCGAGAGAGAGTGTGTAGTGTGAGATCAATAATGAGACAGGTGCTCTCATTGGTGGTGTAAAGCGATGCGGCGGAGCTGAGAGTTTTGTCAGGCGGCACTAGGGGCTCATGAAAAGTGCATCCGGTGTGCGTACCGCCGCCGTAAAAGACCGCCGTGCCGCGAGGACATTCGAGCGAGTTGGATATCAGTGTAATTTATAATGTAGTGCCAACTTTGCAGATGGATAAACAGGGATGACTGATAACTGCTGGAACTCTGGTGGTGGTAAGTGTCTTTCAACATGTACACACACATACACACACGCGCGCGCGCGCGCGCACACGCACGCATGCATGCATGCACGCACACGAACACGAATTCGAGCGCTGAGCGCTCCGAGACTCTCGTCGCGGCGATTCCGCTGAGATTCGCGAAAATGCCGGTGGAAATGAGAAATAAGTAGCCGAGTGAGAGTAATAAAAAGCCGATCTGGCGCAAGATCGGCTTCGGTTCGGTGCAGTCGAGCAGTCACCGATGATCCTATTTCTTTCTTTCTCTTCCCCTCTCTCGCTGTCTCTCTCTCTCTCTCTCTCTCTCTCTCTCTCTCTCTCTCTCGCGCTCTCGCTCTCGCTTTCTCTTTCCTGCGCGCATGAGTATGTATCCGGGACACCCTGTGTGTAGAAATACGGATGTTATTTCGGCCTTACAATACGCGAGATTAGATAAGTAACGCGAGGATAAATCATGCGACACACGAACGAACGAACTCGCTGGTCGCTCAATTACGAGATACGAGTATTAACGCTACTTCGTCGAGCGAGCGTGCGCGAACGCGAGCCGTACTCTTTTTTTTCCTTTTTCTTCAGCGCGAAGCGTTCAATATCTCTCTCCGTGTTTCTCTCTCGGACGAGGCTTCGTTACTCGGACTTTCATACCGTCTCCGCTCCGTGTCGTCCGAGAAAAAAAGAAGAGAGAAAAACGGAGAGGAGAGAAGAATAATAATACAGCCGCATAAACACAGGCGCGAAAACGTTCGGTCCGCTCTGCTCGCGTTTTGCCGCTGGGAAAATAATTTCGCAATCTCTCTCGCTATTACGAGAGATAAAGGCAGCGCTCGCGATATAGGTGTGTTTCTTATAAATAGTTTCACGGGCCGGTCGGCGGCCCGTAGTAGATACACCCAAATTCGCCGTTATCTTGTGCCGACTAATCCTCTGTATGTTTTGCACGTGCCGAGTTTCTAGAGACAGACAGAGAGAGAGAGAGAGAGAGAGAGAGGGGGAGGGAGGAAGAGAGACTTCTCGCGCGCGGAACACACAGCTACGTTCTGGTGTCTTCCGAGCGTTCACTGAGATATAATGTCGAAGGTCTCAGTTGAGCCATTATATTCGGCCGTGAGTGACTGATATCCGCGCTCGAACGCGATCGATATCGCGCCGCCGCGGATCCGATCGCGCGCGAGTATCCGCGCGACGGACTCTGCTGCGCGCGGTCGGTTATCGCCGCCTTCCTTATCGCGCGGCGAAATTCCGCGAGAACAACTCCAGGCGCGCGTGGGGCAGTGAGAGATCCCCCCCGTTTGGAGTTCTCTCCGTTCTAAGCCTCGCGGAAACTCGCTCGGGCCCGGGCGATAACGTTTGCGCGCGCGTTCGAATCAATCGGTCGTTCCGCGCTTTCACCGCGCTGCGATACCACGACGCGCACAGCGCGGGCGCCGGAAGGCGCGAGAAAAATTGCGACGACAGTCAGTAATGGCGATTGATCGATCATCATCATCCGTCCGTGAGTTACGCGAGACGATGCGACGAATGCGCCGCGTTTTGCGCAGCGTGAAGCTCGCTCGCTCGCTCGTCGGTTCACGTCCTCTCGCGACGAGGGAAAAAGCCGGAGGAGGAACGACGGCGACGGCGACGGCGACGCCGGCCCGAAGTAGGCGAATGGAAGTAGCGAATTCCTGTGGAAATCACGTCTAATTAGTCATCCCTCTATAAATACCGCTAGTCACGATAAAAGCGACGATAAAGATGCCCCGTATGTGCGCGCCCGATAGCCCCGACTCGTGTCTAATCTGCGCGCGCGCGCGCGAACGTTCTCTGTCACCTTTCGGCTCTGTCCGACAAACCGCGAAATAGGTGTTTTCGATATATGCCGCGTGTCTCTCGCGGTATCGCCGCGATGCGAAGCGAGCGAGCGAGCGGGCAAGGGAGCGAGAGAAAGAAAGAGAGAGAGAGGAAGAGAGACACCACAGTTTCGATGACACACTTTTTCAGAGACCGCCCAGAGAGAGAGAGAGAGAGAGAGAGAGAGAGAGAGAGGGAGGGAGGGAGGGAGGGAGGGAGGGAGAGAGATGCAGCGCGACGGTTACCGCGATGGACGTTGTGTATTGCTTTTACGACGCGGAGTAACGTAATTCGCCGGGTGTTGTGTGGAAGCCGCCCGCGAAAATATCCTTCGCAAGCGCAGCGGCTCGTCTCTTCTCTCTCTCTCTCTCTCTCATTCGCTCGCTCACTCGCTCACTCATACATTGTTGCTAGCGCGCTTTCTCCGCGCCTTTTGTAGAACGAATGAAATTCCAGCTGTTGTTGCCCGTCGTCGTGACACTTGGTCGTCTCGCCGATGGGTAACGTCGGCGTCGACGTTGCGCAGAAAAGGAACAGCGACCCGGCTTCGGTAGAGCAGCGCGATGTAACGTCCTCGTCGTCGTCGTCGTCGTCTCGTTGCTCACGGAGCGAGAGGGAGGGGGGGATAACTGCGCGAGGTAGATCCGAAACTCGCAACGCCGACGCGCCGCCGATGGTCATGTAATTCGTTACAAGATGACCGACTCGTACCAGAGACGCAGTCTCCGGTGGGCAGCCAATGATATTGCGCGATGTCTTGGAATGTTCCATGATTTTCGGGCGAATTTTCAACACGATTTCGAGAGACCCCGTGCGTCATCGCAGGGGCGTAACGAGCGCGCGCGCGCGCGCGCGCGTGGTGTCGTAAAGGTGCATTGTTTCGAGTTGCACAATTAAACGCGCCTCGACGAACTGCATCTATCTATCTTCTTATGGCGTCCATTCGCCTATCCCAGGCGCTACGAATAAAATAGCCTTGCCCTCGTTTTACATGAAAATTGTGGCCGACGATGGGTTCAATGACTGCGCGCGAGCTGCACTCGCTCGCGCGCATTCACTCGTTCGTTCGTTCGTTCGTTCGTTCGTTCGTTCGTTCGTTCGTTCGCTCGCTCGCTCGCTCGCTCGCTCGCCTGCCCGCCCGCTCGTTCGCTCGCTCGGATCTATTAACCATCCGATGCGTTCCGCCTGTCGATGGTGACTTTAATTCATCGTCGCGCACGCTCGCGCGACAAGCTCGCGCTTTTCTCAGGCTGGCCAGGCACGCGTTGGCTTGTCCAATTTCCTGTCGCTCGAAATCAGAGTCGGCGGCCGGCCGGCCGGCCGGCCGACGCTTCGATCCTTCGAAGGAGAGAAAGAGAGAGATAGAGATAGATAGAGAGAGAGAGAGAGAGAGAGAGAGAGAGAGAGAGAGAGAGAGAGAGAGAGAGAGAGAGAGAACGGGCGGATATCGAAGATAAAGATACACATATCGGCGCAGGAAGAACGTTGTTGCGCCGTTTGGTAACGCGCAACGGCCCCGCGGTCACGCATCGTGAACGTGTATAATGTCTTTAACGGATTGCAGTGATTCTCGAAAGTAACGGCGAGCAGTGCGACTCATTCATTCACATGTGCCCTGATAACAGGAGAAAATGGTACAATCTCCGGGCGGAGATTCGCGATCCGCGTGTGTTTCCCCGGGCGAGGGGGTTGTTAACCAGCACGCACCCTCGGTCGAGGCTGCAGAGGCTGATCGCTCGAAGGTGCGAAGCGGCTTCGAGTCTGTTCCGCGTAAATACGCCAAGTTGTTGATACGTAAAAACCTGATGGCTTATCTTTGACAGTCGGTCGAAAGTGAAAGAAATAAGAGGATATAATAGATGACAAGTCAGATTACAGACAACGGCTGATAACAAGATAATTAGTTACGAGATAACCGAGAGAGGAGGTTTACGAAGAAGAAACGTCTATCGAGTGGTGTCTCAGTGTCAGGTTGCTCTCCTATCTGGCGAAGTAAAGCGAAACATTGATGAAACGTTGAAAACGGATCTACGGCAGAGGTTACAAGATAGGTAGCAACGTAGTTGAGATAGCAGGAGGAATGACAGATAATTGAAAGAGCGCCGCTGATGAGGAACAGACCTTGTGTTTGTTGTCGCTGATGATGATGCGGCAAGAAGGACCGGCCGTCGTTCTCGAAAATTTGTGAAAAATCTCGTACACGATGTTTCATCAATGGGGCAATTTAATTGGCTGAGAATCGTGATATCTAGTGACTATACACATTCATGTAACATCGTACGCGACATTTTTCAAGAATACGGGCCCAGGGTGGCGAACTGCGGGCGCTCCGCTCGCCCTGGGAACGCTTCTTCGACAAAGCGACCCGCGCGCGCGAATAATCGCGTTAGTTTTTGTCACCTGCCGGCGGCCGATCGAACTAATTTTGCGGGGGAGACGGGCGGAGAGAAAGGGTTCCTCTCTTCACAGGTGACAATAGAGCGCGGTTTATTCGCGGAGGAAAGGGCCGCGGCGGCGGGGCTTTGGATTCGATCCGTTTGATCGAAATAGATAATGCCCGGCATAACGCGGCCCCGCGAAACGCTAATTATAGCGCGCAGATTGCGAGCCGTTTACGAGCCGTGGGATGTCCAGTTTATTGCGCGCGCGGTAATCATCCGCGCTAACCCTCGCAGTTATGATCGCGGGGACGCCGCGCGATACCGTCGAGAGAGACTGTCTCGACGAGGCGTTGATAATTTATCCTGAAATATCCGCGGAAGGGACGACACGCGACGCGCGACACGATACGGGATGACATGTCGGTTTTTTTCGAGTCTCCCAGCTGTGACAGCCCGAATCACGTCTCACCGTGCGAGTTCCGGCTGCTTTGAAAGCGAGACAAAAGTCGCCATGTTTCCTCGCGATAATTTCGAGTGCCGATTTATTTATCGGCGTGCCGGTCGAAG